GGTTTCAGTCATTTATTGTCTCTATTTATCAATTAAAATACGTTTCGGTGTATTTTTCCACCATCATCAGTTTTTCTAAAATAACAGATAGTAAAAAAAAATCACAGTTCGTCAACAGCCTCATCATATCACACAAAAATCACCTAAAATACATCACAATTGCAACACTTTTAAACATTGAAAAATTAATTAGGCCTAACAGGTGATTAGTCAAGACAATCAAATTTGGGAAGAGACTAGAATTCTTTGTTCAGATACTTAAATTTTTCTTTTTCTTCTAAATCTCTTCCCAAATTTGATTGTCCTGACTAATCACCCTAATCAGGCCTAATTAATTTTAGAATGTTTTAAAGTGTTGCAATTGTGATGTATTTTAGTGTGTGATATGATGAGGCTGTTGACGAACTGTGATTGTTTTTTTAATTAATGAATTTTTTTTTTTAACTATCTGTTATTTTAGAAAAACTTATGATGGTGGAAAAATACACCGAAACGTATTTTAATTGATAAATAGAGACAATAAATGACTGAAACCCAGGAATTAATTTTGATTTAAAAAAATAATGAAATTTTCGAAAAGTCGACGCAAAACGGTATAAACCGCAATATTTGCTTAAGTACAGCGTAAAGTTTTTGTTTTGAACAGAAGGAAGAGAAATATTCTGTGGGTTTTTGTGCTTTGAAGCAAAGTTTGCAAACCGCAGACAGTTTCAAACGAGCACGTTTGCTCAATTGTAGATTATTTTTTTGTGATTACGTGAGTAAAGATTTTGTGGGGTTTTGTGCCTTGGAATGAGCGAGCTTGGAGAACAAGCTCTCATAAAAATTTCTAAAAAAAATCGACTGAATGATGTCAACATCAATATTTGCTCTACTTGATGAACTATATATATTATACTGTGTTAAGCAGCCAACATTTTTGTATTAAGTAAAGAAATGCGAACTTCTGTGGACGTTTGGGTTTCGGAAGTAGCACGCCCTAAAGCTTAGAAAAATTTGTCAACATTTCTTAACATGTTTGAAAAATTGATCTAAATACACCGTGAAGTTTCCTTAAAAAAATTAAATAAAAGTGAAATTCTCTGGATGTTGGCACTTTGTAGAAACTGAGCTTTAAAGCAAATGCTGCTGACAGACAGGAGACACTTTAAATAATTGCAAAATTCTGAAATCAACAAAAAATCAACGGTAAGTAGTTTAAACAGCCAGATTTGCGTACAAAAAAACTGGCTTTTTGTATTTACGCGATTTTTTACACGATTTTTTGCGGTTACTTAAAGCTGTAAATGTTTGTTAAATTTTTGATACAATCGATGTGAATCAGTCTAAAGAGCCGCATTTACTCAAATGTACTGTACATTTCGTGATTTGTGTATCTTGAAATTAGCAAGCTAAAGCAACAATGTCAGACCAGAAAGTCGATTTAAAATTGCGATGTTTTTTTTAATCTTTAAAAATGATGTAATCAGTAAGATTACGGATTTATATTTTTTTGTCTCGAATTTTTGGGAAATTTCAAAAATTTCCTTAGATTTTGAGAATCTCCGGTTTCGCGTTCGAGAGGCACCCAAAATGTGCGTGAATTTTGAAATTTCCGAAAAAATCGACGTGAAAAGATAGAAGCACTCACATTTCGTCGATTACAACGTACATGTTCCGTATTACGAAAAACCCAACGTTCGTAGCCTTTTGTGCTTTCAAATGCGTCTTTTGAAGAAAATCTGTAAGACCGAGGAACACAAATAAGTATACGGCAACATTTTTGTTTTTAAGTTAAAGAATTTATTTGTCGCAGGTTTTTGTGGCTTCTCAAAGAAAGCAAAGCCTGTTTTACAGCTGGAATATTTAAATTATTTATTTTTGATGAATGTAAAATAAGTAACTATAAAACAACAGTTACTCGTTTTTGTGTTAAGTGAAAAAGCGTGTTGAAAACGCAGAAAATCATCTTACTGATTGCATCCAAAAACCATGCTTAGTAGTTACCAAGCAATTTTTACTCAACATCTGAAGTACCTTCAATCAGGGAGATATAGATAATATCATAGAGCCAAAGCCTGATGTAAGCCGCGATTTTTTTTGTCTGTTTTACATGCTCTCGAAATGTATTTGACCTGTGCTATGAAGGAGCAAGTTATGCAAAGCAAGCGGCTTTTTAATAATCATTATCATGGCGAACTGAAAAACGCGGTCTAGTGTACTTGAAAATTCGACGCTCGGCGTCTTTGTATGGCAAAAGCGACGACCTGCCTCAAAACGACGAAAAAAATACCGGAAAAGCATTCTCATTGCATTTTTATGATGGCGTCGCATAGGGAAACGATTCGCTTGTAGACAAAAGATTAAATTTTTCGGGGGCACTCTATCGTTCGTTACCGTGGCGGGTTTAAACATTTCCAGCTGAAAATAATAAAGGCTTTTTAAGGGTTTTCGTCAGGCCCATGAACTGTTCAGAACGTTTTATTTGGCTAATGATTGTTGACCCAGAATCCAGACAATCGCGATATCAGTGTGAATGGCGCACTATAAAAGCAAAACTAACTGTTAAGGATGGAAGGAAAGGTCAATCCGCTTTTCTCCTAGTGAAAAAAGCGGCAAAAACGTCCCAGTTAGTTAACTCTCGACATCCGGGCAAACAACACCCTTTTAATTCAGCCTGGAACTCGGCTCTTTATTGCAATGTCCGCTCTTTTCTTTTGTCGAGTCGGGGAGCCGGTTTTGTTTTTCGATCCACCGTACAAACGCGATTGTCCCGAAGTTGTGAAAAAATGCGAAAATCCATTTCTGACTCGATGTTTTTTAATTCGATCGATTTGTGAAGAATGAAAAATGTCCGGTCAGGTGCGGATTAGAAATTTAAGACAAAGCGCGGATCGACACCGTCGAGGACTCAATACGGCTTTATAGAGAATGCCACCAATAAAAATCCCTCAATGTTTTCTAACAGTGAAGCCGGTGACAAAGAATTATGCAACTTAATTTTCGATCTTGCTTTATGTACGTTTAATTTTTTTCCATTTCCTTGCCTTGATTGTCTGGCACTTTAGACATTTTTAGGAATGTTTTTCAATTCAGCTTTTTGTTGCTTTGAAAGCAGTTTGGTTTGATTTATAATTTTCTCTATTTACTCTATAATACTTTATTAACAACACCTTTTCCACTTTTATCTTTTTACAGATTCTGAATACGCTCTAACGACCGTAGAACGTTTCTTGGTAATTGATGGTCTTTCTTTGGCGGCCCTGAACAATCAAGTCCGAAATCGGCGTTAAAATTGGGATTTACATAGTGAACAAACCAAAATCGAGCATCTGGTTGCAACATTTTTCACTAGACATTTTATGGCATTGAACGTGTCCAGGCGTCTGTAAAAAGACACTTTGGTAATGTATTTGATCGGGCTTTGAGACCGACGAATTAAAACATTTATCTTTCAACTCTGCTCTATATTGCACCGTTTTGCCGTCTCAGTTTACACATGGAGCTCGGAATTGTAATGCTCTACCTGCCTTTACAATACGGCGAATTTATTCCCTAAACGTGCGATTTTCCATATTAACAGAGCACCGACCACACATATGAACAGGTTTTTCACATAATGATGACGCCATCGCAAAATGACGATTTCTTTATGAAATAAATATTCAGATCAAATGAAGTCAGATCAGATTTGAAGGCATTTTCTGAGAAAAACTAATTTCATGCAAGAAAACGAGTTTTTAATTGAAAAACTCGTAAAGTCATTTAGGTCTGAAGTAATCGATACGACTATAAGGAGACTAATGACTGAACGGTGAATGAAAGAAATGATAAAAAAAGGAAAGTGAAGAGTTGAAGCATAATTTTGACCTGTTGTTTGGGTGAAGAATGTTTATATTTCCCCATTGAAGAAGGAAATCAGACATTTCAAGTTTAAATTTTAGTTCTGATTGGTTGGCCCCTGATTAATTTGTCTGATCTGTTAATTTTTTCCTGTTTTGTGTTTACTTCATTGTCCTAAGTTATTGACTCGTTGGTTGTAAGTTCTTCCTTTTTTTCCAAACTAATGAAAACGTTTTTTCGTCTCCAAAAAAGAAATCAGGCAGGCAAACTTTAAAAGTGCAGGCTTTTCAAGTTAAAGTTTGACTCTTGGTTTGGTCTTCTAGAGTGGTGTCACCTCCACTTGAATTGCCTGGATATTCTTCTCTTTCTTCAGTTTAGCACAAAAATTTTGCAGAAATTAACGTATTTTCTTTGTTTTCAGCATGAAGTAGCCACCTGAGTGTTGGGCCCGCTTCATCGGGCTGGCCGTCCATCAAAATGGGATTCGTGCTTCGCACGTTGCCATTCCTGCTCACCCTCATCGAATGGAGCAGATCTGAACAAGGTAAGTCCAGCACTTTTCCGCCAACGTCTTCCATTAAACCGCAACAAAGGCAAACATCAGCGCCCAACAGTTCCGCCCCGAATCCATAACTTCCAATGAACTAACATTATTCAGGCCGGACATTAAGAGGGACAACTTGCAGCAAACACGGTAATTAAGAGCAATTACGGACGTAACTGTGCTTGGATAATTACTAATTGCAATCGACTGCGAAGATGGACTCACAAATGTACTGATATCAAACAATAATAGGCACTTATTACGGCCGTTCGAATGGTCTGTGTCGGGTCGTTATTACTGGAGTTTTGGCATGTTCTATTCGAGTTGAACTTGGCCAGTTGCCTCTATTTATTGAGGGTGACTCAAAAATCGCCTCATTTCTCAACTTTTTCTAAACTTGCTTCAACATCGGGAATGTGCTTAATTTCACCGCTTTCCACAAGATTGGTCCTTATCCAGAACTTAAACGTCAATCTTTTGGAACTCTCAGCTTTTTAAAGCTAGATATGACCCACTTTGAAACCATCGTAAAACTCAGCTTAAGTCGACTTGAAGTAGATAAATTGTCCTGACCATGCCCCATATTGCGTTATTGTATTGTTCGTTTGTTGGGTGCGCTTTGACGGGCCGGTTAATTGCAACCGGCCTGTTAAATAAAATCCTCATTTGTCATAAAGTGTACAATTGAATAACGAAAAATTATCTTATCGGCCCGCATTGAACCATTGCGGAACTGATGTTTTAGGTCTAAACCTCTGGTTCTTCGATCGAATGCCATGAACAGTTATTCTAGTGGTTTGGTTGGTTGGTTGGTACTTTAATTCGGTGGTTCAAAGGAAGTGAATTTGCAATTGCAAAAACTCGCGAATTGAAGCCGCACAGTCATAAATCAGTTATTTCTATCGCGATTGTGGTACTGGCAGTATAAAGTCGCTCACTGTAATTTACAACACGTGGAGGCGAATCTTGTTCGGTCTTTCACCTCAAATGGCACTTTTACAGTCTTAGTTAATGTTGCTTCTCTTCCCACTTTGCATTTGAAGGAAAAAAATTGAAGCAATTTGCTTCAAAAGTCTAGATGAAGCAGGTAAATTTTCCACATGAAAGACATGAAAAACGAACCGAAACCGAAGAAATTTATAAATGTCATGCCGAAACACACAAGGCCGAGAGTGTGTGTCTGATTCTTGTGTGGCACATCTTGTCCCGACCCGCATGTCTGGGTTTTATTTTTAAACATAAACCTCAAATATGTCTTCGACAAAGTCGGGCCGCTGACGTCTGTTTATAAACACCATTTGTAAGGGTTAAGACTCCATCACATCAAACATTGACGTCAAAATAGAGATATAGACAAAGTTAGACAAAAAAAAAACTGAGATTAAGCCATTAGTTCCAAGCAATCTGTCAGGCAGGCCATAAAAGCAAACTTTCAACCTCCATCGTGTTCTAGTGGAAATTCCTGCAGGGTTCTTCTTCTCCTCCTCCTCCTCCTCCTCCTCCTAGTACATATGATGCATATTTAATAGGTTGATTAGCGCGTAACTGAACATACCTGCGATTAAAATTTGAGCCTCTATTTTTAATTATTCAGGACGGGATTATGGAGCAATTAGGCGTGGCGTTTACATGGGGATGTAAATGCACTAGTGGTTATTAAGGATGTTTTTCATTGCAACACTCCAAAAGCTTCCAAATGAACTGTAAATGTCCCTTGGACGAATGGATTTCGGCCACGACCCTGATTAGGGGGATAAAAATCGAACAATCCGCAAGTTTAGAGTGTTTTTTTTTTGGGCCTAAACCAGAATAGGCTCAACTTCGCCTCGAACACTGTCTAATGTATTTGTTGTGCCGAGCCCTTCGGGTACGACACTGATTTCGGGTTAAAAAGCGAAAATTCGGCAAGTGTATAGTGAGTTTTTGCGCCCAAACCAGAATAGGCACAACTTCGATATCCGTCACTGTTTAATGTGTTTGTTGTACCGAGCTTCAGTGAAAATGCCTCAAAAAATTGTCCAAGAATAGAGTGTTTTTGCGCCCAAATCAGAAATGGTTTGGGGTCAGTCGAACATCGAAAATTCGGCAAGTTTAAAGTGCTTTCGAGTTTAAATCACATACGGTGGTACTTTCTTAGGATAAAATAAAGTGACCATTCAATGTGCATACGACAAATGTGGGATTTATTGAGGGGCGGATCCAGCTTTAAAGTCAGGGGGCGAGGGGTTATGTAGAAAAAATACAGTCTTCTGTTATCTATGAAATTAGAAAAATGATCGTCGTTTTGTGCAAGGGTGGCGCAAGATTATTGCAAAAT